ACTGTTATAAATAACAAGAATCCAACACAAAGAGGGAAGCGTGATATGTCCATACGTATATTTATTTATCTGCAAAAGTAAGAAAATGAAACACGAAGAGAATATGAGTGAAAGAATATAAGTAAGTAAGAAAATGAGAAAAAAACAGTAATGATGGGAAGAGAATCTATTCTTCGACAGCTGCATCTCGATAACATACAAACGTATTTCATTCGCAATCTATGTAGAAGTATAAGTACAAAAAAATCTTTTTATACATTGCTTCGCAATTATGTGCAAGTGCGATGCAGTTTAAGTATACAATCAAATGTACGTGAAGTTTGAAAAAATATTATAAGAATAAAATGATTCATTTCTTCTTTCTCTTAATGCTCTTTTGTTGATAGAAATCTATTTCTATTCCGAAACAACAATATGATTATAATACCTAGAAAATATATTACTTCTGTTTCATTAATTGAGGGTGAGGGTGTGTGTTTGGGTGGGTGTAGGTGCGCTGAGGATGGGTATGTGTGTGCGTTTGAGTGAAGATATAATTAATAAAACATCTACACCCTCACCAGCACCTACACCCTCAGCTCATCGCTGCCGAATAGATTGCAAGGAATATTAGGTAATTGGTCTGAGTTTCACGACTTTGATCATGTTTGAATAGAACTTTTGCTACTTATTGATAAGATCCATCCATTTTTAGAGTTTTGCTTTTGCATATATTGAATTTAGAGTTGAATTTATGTACATCTTTTTCATGTCTCTCAGAAAAGTACATCATATGGTGATGAACAATTCTGTTTGTGATTCATCTGTTACAAAAATACTTATTGCGCATAAGGAAATAAAGAACGTGATTAAAGGTGAGTCCTGACAAAGCAGATTATTTAATAGAGTCAAATAAAAAAATATCAAAAAAATCATGACTTATTCATTGACGTCAATCATTTATTGACGATGATAGTTAATATCTTATTTTAACTGCAACACGTCCGATGATTGTCCTAGATTATGATTAATTTTTTTTCTCTGTATCACGTTCTTCTTCAATAAACTCAAATATTTTTCTATGAAATCAAATGATGAGTTTTGTTGATTAATCCAATCTAAAATTAATTATTTGTCTTATCTACGATGAAACCTTCTCTAGAACACTATTTTTTCTCTTTGTATTATCTTGGAAGAAATAAATGAGAGAAAAAGAGAAATATGTAATTAGAGAGAAAATCTACAATGAGTGTCATTTTATTTTCATCGAAGACGAAGAAGAAATAGATTATTTAATCAGTTGACCAATTTATCAAAAAAATCTTTTTGAATGATGTGGAATATTTATGTATTTGCCATTATTCTTCTGTTCATTTTCAACAATGAAACATCAGGTATATACTTTTATTTATCACATACTGAAGATCAGCTATTGCACAAAAAGACATTATTCATTAGTTTTAGTTAAACAAAAGAGAGTCAAATAAAAGATTATCGAATTTGACAGGAATTTCTGTATTTAATTAATGATTAGCAAGAGAGTTTTCTTCTCTCTTTCACACATTAGATTCACCCGAAAGGATGTAATATAAAAATATTCATAATGTTTAGATTTCGATCAATTTTTTTGTCTTCCTTGGAAATCAAATCTTTTTAAAATTATTCTTATTGAATTTTTCGAAAAAAAACATGAACTAATGGTTTCATTTCGTCTCCAGTTCTTGTCTAATGTTCTTTTTTTTCTCAATTTTAGCTCTTTCATTCAATCAACCAAAGTTTTGTCCAACAGCCATTTGGAATTCCAATGGTATTACAATTGCTAATCGATCGATTGTTGGTCAGTCTTTTTTCGCCATTTTTGTGAACACAAACAACACAATCTATGTTGCTAATCAAGAAGAAAACACAATTGTAATGTGGCAAGAAGAGAATGTCAGTTCAACAAAGATCATTTCGGGTAACTTTATAGAACCCAATTCTCTCTTCGTGATATCGAATGGTGATATTTTTATTGACGATGGTGTTAAGAATGGTCGAGTGCAGAAATGGAGCGTAGAAACAAATAACTTTGTTACAGTGATGAATGTCAGTTCAAAATGTGATGGTTTATTTGTCGATATCAATGATACTCTTTACTGTTCAATGCCTGAGCATCATCAAGTAGTGAAAAGATTATTAAGTAATTCTATGCTGAATTCAAATCGGGTTGCTGCCGGAACAGGCATTTACGGATCAGCCTCAAATCAATTCCATGGTCAACATGGAATTTTTGTCGATGTAAATTTGGATTTATATGTGGCAGATTGTGAAAATCATCGAGTTCAGCTATTTCAGTCAGAAGAACCAAATGGCATTACAGTAGCTGGAAGTAAATCACTAAATCCAACAATTACACTTCGTTTTCCGACTGGAGTGATATTAGATGCTGAGAAATATTTATTCATTGTGGATCGGTACAATCATCGCATTGTTGGTTCAGACTTGAACGGTTTTCGATGTTTAGTTGGATGTTATGGAATGGGTTCACAATCCAATCAATTGAATAAACCATTTAGCTTGAGTTTCGATCATTCTGGAAATATGTTTGTTACTGATCAAGTAAATCATCGAATTCAAAAATTTTTACTGATGAAGGATTCTTTTGGTAAGTTGAAGAAATGTGAATAGATAAGTAACAGAAGTTAAAAAAACAAAAATGGTTGAGAAAAATTAATTAAAACAACGTGTAAAACATTTAGTTGCTGGGAGTAATATTGGATAGTTGAAGACAATTTATAAATATGGTACCTTGCCTTTTTCTTCATTTTATACTAAAACTATTGAAATCCCTAAAATAATATTAAAATTACAAAGAAAGATTTGTTTTATTTCAGTTGAATAAAGACGAGATTATGTGTGAAACAAAAGAAGAACCTTTGAGGATCATAATAAATGTTATTTTTTGTCTCATTTTACGCTCGCAATAACATAGATATTTCTCGTTTTCCATTTCAGATTTTTCT